CAAAAGGATCAATGCCAAAAGATGAGGATCCAATGACAAGTTTAAAAAAAAACTAGAACCTTTGGATAGAGCGGTGATCAACCTGAGTCTTTGAGCAGTTAACCTGGCTGTTCTTACTTATTCTCAAGCCCCGAAATCATCTGATTAAAACACTTGACAGCGTTCATTGAATTAAATCCAAAGAGCATGTTGAATCTAAGTGCTGCTATTCATGTGCAACAACATCACTATGTGGTCACAAGGTCACACAAAAATTTATTAAGATGCAACCACACTCCGAATTAATTTTAGTTAGTAAGCAATTGAGCGACAAGGTGAGATGAGCTCGTGGAGACAGAAAGATATCATCCAAAAAATCAAGGTCTTGGAAACGGCAACTTTGTTGTTCTGTTTGATATCTCCTCTAAATGGAAAGCTCAAGAGCACTATACTCCCATTAGACATGCACAAACAAAATCAAATATGTGCAGATACGAAAAGTAACTGGGTTTCGATGAATCTCTTAAGATGGTTAGAGCCACTTAATTTCGTATAAAAGTGGATGCTCAAGAGATTCATAGGCCAAACTCACTAGAATCTCTTCATCATCCACTTTCCTACGAAACGAGAGTTTCCTGAAATACATGTGTCAATTACAGAATAAAAATTCAGGAGATTCTGTGTGGAAGCAGTTGTTCAGCTGCAACCTCAACTCTTTTACCTATATGTTGGCGTGTAGAAGAACGAAATGATCAACCTAATCATTAGGTGCCCCATTAAATGGGCAAAGTTAGGATACTGGAGGTTGGTAGGGCCACAGCCAGCCAACGCCTCTGGCATAGTATTTGATAGAGTTTTGTCCATAATGGTTTTACGCCCTAAATAAATCTACAGCATAGAATGTGAAAACTTTGCCGCTTGAGTAGATGGGAAAGTTGGTTGAAATGGATTTTTGAACTGGCCTTATCAGAAGCCGAAGTAGGAATAAATACTGTTGGATTCTACCAAGGAGACCATGGCTCACCGTTTTGCGACTTTGATGGACCCGTGATGAGATTTCGTCTGCCATGTGACAGACATCGCCAGAGCAAGAAACTATGTAAGATATATTCACCTTAGTTCGTTAAGGTGATGAAGGACTGGTAGTTGAATTTTCACACAATAATGTATGAATACCTTTTTTGAAGCAAGGCTATGTGAAATTCACTGGTAATGCCAGCTCTACTCATATCATTTTTTGGAAAATTCAACTATCAGCCATTCACCACCTCAAAAGAAATAGGATGAATACACTCATCTATATGATCTACTGGTATTCTCGAAAACCTACCTATAAGCTAGAAATAAGAAATCTCACAATTTTTATAAAGTAAGGTAAAAGTTGTCTAACTGCAGACCTACACACTTCTTATATCAAATTTTGCTATCTTATTAAAGCACCCTACGATAAACGGAGTTTCGCTGGCCCTTATTTTATTTCTAGATCAACTTACGGGGATTGTACTCGCTAAAAGCTTAGGCATATATTGAGCAATTTAATCATGAACAGTACATATGTTACCTTTATTGATAAGCTGCATGGGCAAGCATAATGTTTAGCGATGGGGTCGTGTTTAGCTCCTATTTTGCTTAATTTGTGGCTCGATTAATTCAATAGGCATCCCTAGTTCTATGTAAAATAAATATACGGGGGATTATTTGAGTTACTGAATGGGATTATTAAATTTACTGAGGATTTATAAAGGGAAGAGAAGCTACCAATTATGGATGTCCTAATGAATAGAGAGAATGAGTTGATTAAAGGTGTGTATAGGAATGCATAAACATGCGGATTCGTCTAATTACTTCTTTTCTATTCCTAAATTTGAGGTCAAATTATGGGCTATCAAATTTATGATAATGCGGAGCTTGCTGAAGACGACTTAAAGCAATTGAAGCACGAACTCGGTTAATTGAACGATATATTAATTTTAAATGATTTCCTCCTGGAATTGATATATAGGTATTTTTTAATGCTCAAATGGACTGATCGGAAATTGCTATCTAGAATGGGATAGACAGATAAACTACTCTATTTATTTCCTTATTCTGCCGTCCTGTTAGTTTGGGAACAATTTAGGTGAACTAAGGAGGAAGTGTAAAATCAGAACAATGTATAAAGAGAAAATAATATTTTCCACAATCGTCTAATTTTATAGCATTTTCAGAGCCTCTTCCGGATCAGAATGCTACAAGGGTTTTTGCGGCACAATTCGGGGGATCTACCGAATTATCCAAACTAGATGGATAAGAGCAACCGCCAGCCCTTCACCATCATATACCGAAGAGGGTAAAAATTCGCGGAGATTGAAATCTCTTATTATCTATATAACGATAATTTTTAGCAAAAGAAATAAAAGGATAATACTTGTCACTGATACTTTTTTAAATCTGTGCTAAGGATGGAGCCTCTCACTAGCGATAGGCTTTATCATGATACAGACGTTCATTTAGCTTTGCATCCAAAAGATCTCCATATTCAGAATGGACTTTAGTTTCGACCTTGCCCATTCGGACTGATAAAGGGAGAAGCTGCATGAGGAAGTTGTTTAGGGGAATGCAAAGCTAGGCGAAAGTAATATCATAAGTCCTACTCATTTTCTTGTTTGAAATCCCTCTATCAGTCATTGCATCGCCTCAAGCAACCTAGAGTGATTATAGTGATAGTCTCACACTTCGAATCACTTCAAATATAAGGTGCTCAAAGTTCTCCTCCTAGTGTAATAGGCAAATTAGTTCAGGAAAGAGGACTCCCATCATCTTCTAGGTGGACAAATAATGTTATTATCTTTTTCGACCTGGTAAGTTAAGAAATTAGTCAGCTCACATCATCCAAGATCATTTAAGGACAAATGATTGAATTTTTCTATAAAGTAAATGGGTATGCCATTGAGTTTAACTTATTTTTCGTTTCTAAGGTTTTCGAGACTATTAATATATCATATCATATATATATTTATTTATTTATTTACCTTATTTCGTTAAAGTGATGAAGAACTGATAGTTTTATTTTCCCGCAATAATATGAGTGGGCCTCATGTTTCATTGAATTTCAACTACCAGTTCTTCATTACCCTAAACGAAATAGGGTGAATACAGCTTCATATCAACTTTCACTTGGCCTCGCCTCCCAAGATGCCATCTTCTTCGGAGTGACATGCAGTTTAGACCTCGTCTAAGTCTCATCAGCTCCACTTGGTAAAAATCGATCAGGGTTGTGAGTATCTTGGTCAAGTTAGCATTCCACTATAAAGTCACTGGTTACAGTATGTCACAGTGTAGATGGGACATTCAGGTTGAGTTAGACACTTTGGCAACTTGATCATCTCAGGGCCAGAAGGTGAAGAACTTGTGCCACAAGCTATAATTATAAATGATGCAAGTTCCGACCAGTTATAGTGATAGGGAGGTTGGCCTACAAAGGAGCCTATCAATACAGGAGAGTGTTAATCTTCATGACTGCTGTCAAAGCAAGTCTGCTAAAATGGGCATACTTCATCAGAGAATACTGTGGGTGTGTTCGATGTAGAAACGGCGATATGCAGAGTATGGGGCGAGGATGCCGGTTCGGCCACGCGATGATACTGACCGCCTCAAACTCCCCCAGCGGGTGGCGTCGAAACAGCCGTAGAACCTAAAGCTAGATCCATTGTCACAGGAAAGTTGGCGTGACATACAACTAAATCAAGTGAGGAATGGCAAGGCAGTGATGTGATATTCCGTATAACTAGAGTTTTGAGACTACTAGTAAATCAGAGGTATTCAGCCTATTTAGTTTAAGGTGATAAAGGACTGTTAGTAGAATTCTTCCACAATGATATGAATAGAGCTGACGCTTCCATTGAATTTCGCATAGCCTTGCATTTCCAAAAGTTCTCATCCAGGGTGGACTGCAGGTTCGACCTCGCATAGGTCTTATCAATGCACCCAGTTGGATTCGAACCGTGAAAGTGCAGCAGGTGAGCTTGACATGTTAACCACTTGGCCACATTGCCACGAGTGCCCTTGGGTCACAGGGCAGATGTGAATTTCAAGGAAGGCCAGGCCTTTT